CAACAATAGAAATAGAGCTTTACCAACAACCGGGTCAACAAAATGTGATTGTAACACGGAATTTCAACCTTAAGGACATCTCCACATGGTTAATTGACCATAAAATTGTGAGGGAGAAAGATGTTCAACGAGTGATTGCTTCTTTAAATATTCAGGTGTTTAATAAATTTGACAGAAAAAAGTTAATAGAATTGAAAAAAGTGGAATATTTTTTAAATTTTATTATCTTACAGGTTGACAACCTCTGCCAACTTCTACCCCAAGACCGAGTCCAAGACTTCTCCAAAATGGACTCAATGCAGCTCCTGCGTAGTACTCTGTCAGCTGTAGGTGGGCAAAAGAGTGTGTCTCAGCTGGATGAGTTAATTCAATGCAGGAGTGAGCAGAGGAACTCGTCTACGAAGTTGCAAAGCAATATGCACAATTTGGAAGAGCAGAAACGTTTGAATGAAAGGTAAGTTTTGGACTAGTTACACGCGGTAAGCAACGATACAAACGCGCGTAGGTGGAATTCGCGTGCATTGCGACACTCGATTAATGGGCGATTGCATCGATACAAACGCGCGACTGAATCAGTAGCTAGCTTGCTTGTGTTGAGACATTAAAAACGTGCATCGTGATTAAATCGCAGTATAAGTCGCGCGTGTGTGTAATTATTACTAACATCTTTGCAGTTAACCATCAGTTAACTGCATGAAGTCGGTTTTGACTGCATTCAGTTAATGCGTGAATATCCGAGACCGCGACTGCATAAACTTGATAACTACTTCACGCATTAACTGTGTGCAGTCGAAACCGACTTCATGCTACCAAGATCGACTGCATACATTAACTGCAAACATGCACTCAATCTGTTAGCAGCCTAAGGATGCGTTCGAAAGAGGATTGGTCCCATTTATTTCAACAAAACTTAGCAAATGGATGTAACTCCACGAACTTTTGAGGTCGGTTTTTTTTAATAAAAATGTTATGATTATGTCTGTTATTGTAGTTCTCAATCTCGGTTATAAAATGAAATTTATGTATCCACTTGTCAAACAACTTTAAATTTGTTACACTCAGAAGACGAAGACAGTATATGGACTACCCGACTCCTCAACTACTTAATGAGTTCTTAGCTTACAGAGTGTTTTTTTTTTTTAATTTTAATTTAAAGTCAAAGTCAAATAAATATCGGCGATCGGCCGATCATAAAATAAATTTATATTTGAAAACATCACTTTTAAGCTACTGCTTGTTCACTATGCTGACTTCCCTGAGAAGAACGAGCAAGAAACTCTAGGAATTGCTCTTTTCAAATAAACTTAAATGCTATGGAATACACTTTGAATCAAATTTGTGTAGAATCTGGAGCCATGTCGTTTCCATACATCTTTATCTAACACGTAGTCTTCAATTTTGTAATATGATTTTTCGATCAAAATATTTTTAACGTAGTTTTTAAACTTAGGAAATGATAAACTTAATATATGCTCCGGAATCTTATTATAAAAACGTGTACGTTTCGCCATAAAAGAGTTGTTTACCTTGGTTAAACGAAATCGTGGTACCATGAGTTTGGACTTAGCTCTAAGGTTATATTATTATATTAATATGTTGTAGTTATGAAATTGTAACAACTTTAATATATCACAAGCTAATTACAGAACTTTCTATCCTTTAATCAACAGGTTAAAAGTCCAGATAGATGCTATGAAACAGCGTCAAGAGATAGAACAACAAATAGAAGTCTGCGAAAAGAAAAAGCTATGGCTCGAGTACCAAGAACTGCGAGACAAAGTTATGGAATATAACAATGACAAGAATCAAGCTGCAAAAGTCGTCAGAACGCATAGGAACAAAATGGAGCCGATGGAAAGAGTTATTCAAGAGGCTAAGACAGGAATTAGTAGACTGGAGCAACAGAAGCTAAGTGCAGTAAGTAATTTTTAAGCAACTATAGCAGTTTTATTAGCATTACAGCTCGTCCAGGGAAGCACTGCCACCTTATCTATTTCTGCCGCCAAGCAGTAATGTCAGCATTATTGTGTTCCGATTTTGAAAGGTAAGGGTGCTGGTGAAATTACAGGCACATGGGGCTTGTCAACTTATGTCTCAGAGTGACGGGCGCAGTGGCGGTGCGCCTCAGATCTTTGCGATTTAAAGAGCTGAGTGGCACTGCAACTGTTCTGGACAGGCGTGTAGGTTACCACCAGGCGTACGACTTGTTCCTCCCGTCATTTGAGATTATAAAAAAAGTCTTTTCAAGACGGAGTAAAATGACATTCGCAGGGTTGCCAGTTTTCGCAAAATTTTAAATAGTCATGTAGTTGTTCTCGACAATTTTATCGATAAATTGTGAAAGTAGGTAAAACTTTTCCAAAAATGTCTGAATTGTGACTGGTACGACGTTCTAATGATTACTAATTATTGCGTTATTGTATTCTTTATTATTATTTTGACAGTTGGCCTTTTCGTATTGAAATCAATTATTATGCATACACATTTTAATAACGACTAGCGGATTTGATTATGTATATTAAATTTAAATGAAAAACCTTAAAAAATTTGTCTTCTATTTGTATTTTAATAGACATAGTTCTAAATTTAGTGTATGTATGAAGGTCTTCTTTGACCGAGCGACTATCGAGTTAACATCTTTTGTTCGTCGTGGCTAAATGTTTTATTCTAAAACATTGGAAATTTCGTAGTTTCTGTTTTGAAATTATCACGAAAACATAATTTAAATTACAAATTTTTTGAATTCAGTACTATAGAAGTGAAGTGATTAAATTTTATTAGTGTAATCTCAAGAAATATTAAAACAATAGAAAAATCAGCATAAACTGCCTCCGTGGCCGAACGGTTACCGTGCTGGTCTGCTACGCAGAGGTCCCGGGTTCGATTCCCGGGCCGGGAGAAATATTTGTATGTCTTACATTTATTTATCTCGTGTATTTATTTATTTGTGGTTGTCTATGAGTGTGTGCATTGAAAAAAAAAAAATATATATATAAATATGTTTTTTTTGGGGGTTGGTAACTTTTTGTTTCATTTGACACCATAAGCAGTTATTAATCATCTAATTCAATGTCTGATTGCAGAACCGCGAAATCCACGCACTGAAAGATAAAGTAAAAGAAACAATAGACTCGGTAAGACAACAAGAATACGCGATCAAAGATGCGGAGTCGGTTTATCAAGAGAAATTGGAGCGATATAGAAACAGAGAAAGGGAGTTGGGTGAAGCTAAAGCTGTTAGAGATAAGCTGTTGACTGACCAGAAGAGATTGGTGGAGAAGGTTGGAGATGGTAAGCAGTTTTAGGGTGCCTTCAAATCAGATATAAGTATTTTCATACAAAAGGTCTTAACCTTGTATGTAATTTTGATTATTTTGAGACGAAACATATATTTATAAAGTATTGAAGAGCGGAATATCTGCTATGTCAATTTTGTAACAAACTTGAACATATGCTACATTTCATGAAATGTGACTATTATATAGCTATGAGAAGCCAATTTCAACTAGGGGATATTTGATAGGATGGAGAGTGTTTGCATCTAGCACATTTAACCTTATTTGTAGAGGGTCAATTCTATGCTGCTTACGATAAAAACGGTTCAAAGTGCAAAGTGTCAGGCTTTATGTGCTCTTGACTGTACACGTTATTTACATTATTGCGAACACTAATTCACCAGGCGCTAACTTGCCTGCTTGTCTTTTTTATATCACTACTGCATATCAATTTCATTCACTTTCGATCTTCGTTCTGTTCGGTTCTCTTATTAAACCAAAATTCAAAATTTGTACAGTCACGAGCACGTCAAGCTTGACACTTTGTACTTTGGACCGTGCTTGTCTAAGTGGCATAAAGTTGGATTTAAATGTTAAGTGTCAAGCTTGACGTGCTCTTGACCCGGTACTTAAGCCAATATAGTAATTTAACCTGTGAAATACCTTAATGAGTATATTTCAAACTCTACAATGTCCTCTACGACACAGGGAGTTAAATGTTGTGTTGGGTGACCCGTTGGTGAAGAGGGCTAAAACTCTGTACTCATAAATGTTCGTGCCTCTCGCTTCATAGTGAGAGGCATAGTGTCACCTGATGACAACACGATAAAGTAGAATAATCCACAGGGATTAATATTACAAGGCCGTCATTGACACCCAAGTGTTACAGGCCTTATTAAACAAAGTATTTTTTTTATTATATAAATTTCAGAAAATCGCGTAAAGATGGAATTAGACGAGCTGCACATATCAATAACAAAAACGAATTCGGCCATAGACAAGCTAAAAAAGCAAAAAATGGACATGCAATACGATTTGGAGAATAATGTCATACCACAAATTCGATTGTATCAGAACAAGTAAGTGTTAAATGTTCAGTAGGACTTAACGAGTTGTAGGTGGATCATAGTATAATAAGCAATGATCAAAATTTAGGGAGTTAATCTACCTAAAGTATTAACGTTTTCTTAGTATGGACATGCCCATATCGTCATCAATGCTTATAAAAATTCTTTTTAACCGACTTTTAAAAAAGGAGGTTCACAATTAGACTGTTTTTCTAACTCGTCGAAACGTAGTTTGTTTGAAAAAACAAATATACACGTTTTAGATAGGAAAGAAAATAATTTCACGTCTAAATTTCAATAACTCCTACTTATTATATGTTGTTATTTTCTAGAATCCGGTCTCTTGAAGACGTAGGTGAAAAGCGTTTAGAAGCACTTCGCAACTACAGCGAAGATGCATACAAAGCTGTACAGTGGCTGAGAGAAAACAGAACCATGTTTCAACATCCTGTATATGAGCCTATGATGCTTGAGGTATGTATATAACCACAGATAATATAATACTATACTAGTACTGATACCCAATCTCATACAAGGATATGTCGCACTCGTAACTCCGCTTATTCGTATGCCTATTTTCATTCTTAACGCTAATGAATAGATTCTACCAAATAAACCCACGTATTCAGAAACCTTCTATTTGTATTTATTGAGATTTTTTGTGAAATAAATAACTGCACTAGTTTTGTTATGATTATACATTTGATCGAAAAGCGACAGTTGTGATACCTGTAAAGGTATCGGCAGCGATAAGGTTATTCAAAAATCTTTCACTAGATATCACTAGCGGCGACAAATGCCGAAAAGTCAGTACAAAGATCTATAACAAAAACACATGGGAGAATTACAAAATAAAAAATCAAATAATGTGTGAAAATCGTGAAAGTTTAAACCAAAGTATTCCTAACATGTTGTTTAAATAGTTTGGCATTTCTTTTTTATATTTTATACTCTTATGTCTTATGACATAACTAAAGTTTTCGAGATTCAGTACTTTGTATTTTTTATTTTATCCGAGTGTCGCCATCTGCAGTTTTAAATATGTACTAAAGTCATTTTTTTAATGTACAATAAAAAAATATTTTATTGTGTATAATTTGTCCATATAGGGTTATATGTAAAATACTTATAACCTCGCAGTACTAAATTTTACGTCCTAAACAACGACTATGCCGTTAATTTGTCCAGCTTCTTATTTCATTAAAATTATGAATTAAGTTTGCTGGTATTGTAAACAGTTATGTCTAAATCGGGAATAATAATAATAATAACTTTATTAATAGTCATTACAAATACTACAGAAATAATACAGTAAGTATTAGTTATTGATTGCTGACCGGTCGGGCAACATCCAGACCCCACAAAAGGGTTTAAACCTGTGTAAGCAGATAGTACCGTTGCCGCCACGGCGGGCAAACATCAATTGAATTTTTATCAACAAATGGCTTACAAGTAGATTAAAAGGAACTTTGTAGTCCCAAAACCAGTACAATAAAACTGTTCATTTGGACCCAGAAAAAAATAAAATATGAGAAAGATGTTCGAAGAGTTAGTACAGTTTAAAGAAGACATAAACTATGTTAGATAAATAAGTTGCAGTGTGCATAAAGAAAGTGGAGAGTAAGTGTAGAGTGTGTTGTGATTCAACAACGAGTGAATGTGAGTGAAATATCTGATTGTGCTTTATAATTGTTGCATTTGGATGCATACAAGGTCTTAACATTAGGAGAGTTGGATACCAAAAAAAGTTTAGCCGAAGGTACACAACCTAATTGTTTGATTATTCACTCATAAAATTTGTGAGATTACAATAACATCGACTCTGTGGCTTCGTAATTATGGCATTTTAACAAAGTTGTTTATTTTTTCTTGATTTCGTAACTGGAAAAAGAGTATATATTTATTTTCCTGTTAATGAAGTTATATAGACGAGCGCTGAGAACACGTAAGTGCCTTCCTGCCAAGGTAGTCCTATGTTGCCTGTAAGGGCATACATAATTACATCTATGTTTCCGAAGGAATGTAGGGTCATATTTTAATAGCATATGTTTCTGTAAGATCACCCGTAGTATGAAATAGCTGCCTTACTGATAGAACTGAGGAGTCAAATATCAAGTGTTATTATAAAGTACTATAAGTACCATTATTTACTCGCTTCAGACTCGGCTATAAAGTAATTATACTACTTTATTTTATATTTATTACTGTTTTTGCGTTACTGACGAACATATTATCCCTTGACATCGTATTTTGAATTTTAATATTGAGTTATTGATAATATGAAATAAATGATTCTATTGCTCTACAGATAAATTTCACTGATGCCAAATACGCTCGCTACCTCGAATCGACGGTACCGGCTCGCGATTTAGTCGCCTTCACGTTCGAATCCAGTCAGGACATGAATCTGTTCTTGAGGAATGTCAGGCAGCAGAAGGGACTGAAACGGGTGAACGCCATTTGCAGCCAGGGTGGAAACGTAAATTTACCTCAGGGGAATATACAGCAGTTGAGGTGAGTGTCCTCTATATATTGCATGATAATTTCAGCTTTAATTTATCGGAAGAAAGTTAAGTTTTACTTGGACAACGAATGGCTATTCGGTTCCCATTGGAATTAATTAATTAAATATTCTTTATTGTTTTTGCAAGAACAATAAACAATGTTTATAATTTAGTAGCAGTAGAACTTTCTTTGTGAAAATGGTCGTCCAGGGAAGTACGGCCACCTTATCTATTTCTGCCGCCAAGGAGTTATCTGAGCATTACTGTGTTCAGGTTTTGAAGGGACATGGAACTTGTTAACTGCAATAAACAGGTATGTTGCTTACCACCAGGCAAACAATTTGTTCGTCTCATCACTTGGTATGATAAAAAGAAAACAGAACACTAATGTGAATGTATCAGATTTTTTTGTGATATAAAGTGACAGGATGAACAAGTCGTGCGTCTGGTGGTAAGTTACACGCCTGTCCATAATACTTGCAGTGCCACTCAGAGCTTAAAATTGCATAGGTCTGAGGGGCACAGCCACTGCGCCCCTGAGACATAAGTTGACAACTCCTACGTGCCTGTAATTTTACCAGCACCCTTAACCTTCAAAACAAGAATGTGTCGCAACAATAAATAATTAGAAATATTTAATTCTAAGTGTCACGTATTTAAAAAGTCCGTCTCAGATGTCCTCAAGTAGTCCAGTTAAACTATACAAATTAAAATAATAATAATTTCATTTTAACACCATTTCTTTCTTTTTTGTATTTTATTTTATATTTGAAAGTGGGACATACTTATAGAGTACGTTATATTCCTGATTCTGTACCCAAAGAAATAATAAACGAATGAACTTAAACTTAAACTTTACAAAAAATATTTTTTTTTTGTTTTTATCGATTACTACTTTAGAACAACATTAGTTATCGAAATCTATGCACATCACTATTGTTGCTCCGACGCAGCGGCGGGTAGCGTCACGGCGGGGAAAAACAAGGCACAGGTCGGGGATGGGGGCGCGAGCGCATACGCGAAATTGCTCAGTGCACGCGCGACCTTGATCTAACGAAGACACGTAAATTATTTGTACTTCCGCTCGCCCGATCGCCGCAAAATGGATATTTATTCTAACGTCGAATTGATTGAGACGGTGCGACTTTACACAATAAGTGGTGATAGTGTGAGGCAAGCTATTGAAATGTTCCCAAATCGGAGTGGAGGTGAATAGTGTCGAAGTGTTGCGTGAGAGGATTATCTCAGCATTTTATACTGTGAGACAAAATGTGTTTGTGTTGTACAATTTAAAACAAAATTTACTATGCCGTGCTAGACTATGCATTGTGGAAAACGGTGGACATTTTGAACACTTGCTCCGTACCACGTAAGTGTAAATAAACTGTAAATAACTAAAAAATCAATCATTGTAAATAATTTGATTTCACATTTTTAACTACGCCAAAAACCTCAATTCTTATTAAATGAAAACTAGTTACTAAATCATAAACGTATCTTTTTAGTACGTAAAACATTTCGATTATATTTCAAGTAAAAAATAAACATAAGCTAAAATGTAAATATGAAATCATTGTTATTGTTGCTGTCTCACTTGGCGCTCGCTTGGTAGTATTCCCATTGCACTCGAAATCAAGCGTAAAGGGAAACGGTTTATTCCTATGTACACTTCAAAACACATTTTGTTGATTTATTTTTTAGTTCTAACATGATTTACTATGACATGTATGAATATGTCTAACTTTCAAATATACAGCCTGTATATTTGTACCAACATAAATATTGCAATTTATAATTAATTGATAGTAATTTTCCTAAACATGCCGTAAATACACACTCCTGAACAAATTAATGTGTTAATCTATTTTGGATGTCAACTGTTGTGTTCGTCTAATAAATTTAAAAAAACCAAAACACAGTGCAGTAATGCCCACTTTACTGTTTGGCGGCAGGAGGTCTTTTCCTACTAAACTGTTCCTTCTACTTCTTTCGCATTTGGCCCTCGTCCAGTCAGCTACTAAGACGCACTAGCTGCGTGCCGGATGAACAGGTGAAATTTACCCTATTTATATTTTATTTATAATACGTATTTTTCCCAGTTACCTCGGTTTCTACACGTACCTGCTAGACACTATAACGGCGCCCGATGCGATTCTGCGATATCTCTGCAAGCAGTACAACATTCACAAGATCCCTATTGGCAACCAGCATACGTATAACAACAGCGGCAAAGTGCCTAAGAACATTACCTACTTCTTTACTGGTATGTGGTCTTTTTTGTTATAGACAATTATAACTTTTTTGTAAAACAAAAACCGACCTCAAAATTTCGTGGAATTACGTCAATTTGCCAAGTTTTGAAATCTGTTACCGTGAAGTGTGCGAAACCAGATTAATTCCAATCATTCATAGTGTGCCACCCTTAGCGCGTTTACGCATTGGATCAGCAGCTGGATTTCGATTGCCTCTTCCGACCGGAATCTACGTCTTTCCGAGTCGAAGCGCACTTGGTACGTGGTGTAACGGGCTGGCGTCCGCAACTCGACGTCAAGGCGCCTATTTTGCGTGTGGTTGGTGCAGGGTCGTACTCGTGCCACCCAAGCTCCTCCAGGAATCTCAGCAGCCTCGTTGGTTTGCTGAAGACTTCGGGGAGCGACCTTGGCACTCCAAGGTACTTCGCCCTGTAGTTGGCCACGCCGGAGCACTGTAGTAGGATGTGCGCAGCCGTTTCCTCCCCCTCCATGCACGCTCTGCATAGAGGGCTGTCTGTGATACCTAAATTGAAAAGGTGTTTATTGTATGGAGGCGCATAATATTGCATAGTTGCGAATCCTAGACTTTACTTACAAATCTAGAAAATTCGGACCCAAATAAGATTCGAATCCGAGACAATACGAACATTGCTTGTACACCTAAAGATAAAACGATCCCTGTGACATTTCGGACCGTCATTTCTCGGATTCTCTTAGAGGTGGAATATTTTCTTCTAATTTAAATGGGACCACTTCACAGGTACGTTCTTTCTAACAAAAATGCATCGTCTAAATCGGTTCACAAATACGGTAGTGATAGGTGACCTTTTTTGAAGTAGGTTAAAAAATAGACTCACTTTTGGCCATAATTTCGCCTGATGGAACTAACTTTTTAAAGTCAACCTCAAGTCTGGCAAATTGAAATCATCTCAATTTTCGATAGAGTGTCAATGTCAGGATTTTGCACGTTTGGTATTTGCGTGTACCTTATTTAGTACTCCATCAACTCATATTATTGTATTTACAAGCCTTCAGGTACACAACAACAAAGTACAAAACTTGTTGAATAGCAGAACTCACTGGAACCAACAAAATATACTTAGCGGATACTTGATACTGGAGAAATCCTAAAAATAAAAAGGCACCAATAAATAAAAAGAAGATTCTGCTAAAAGTTAAGTTTTTCAGTGCCTAGCCATCGAACTACAATTCAACTGCCTTTGCATTAAGGCGGCGACTGACCAGATCATTTCGACGACGATACGATTCGATTGTCGGTATCTTTTGAGCGTTACGTTACGCCCTAAGTCAGTACAGCTCGGACAATCTTCGCCTGGTTTTTTTTAAACAATGGAGTGGGACAAGGATAAAACTCTGTATCATTGATAAATATAAAGAATGTCGTATTCGAAACCGAACCGAAATGATGTCACACCCGTACGATTACTCGAACTTCTCGACCGGCATACGCTAACAACGTTATTCAGAACACAGTTATCGAATGAAAGTTACAGAACGTCCTATTGTTTACAAAGCAAAAATGTAATATGGAAATCTCTTACTATTTTAAATAAAATCTGGACTTTGTTCAATTTTATTAATTTATTTTAATGCAAGACTAATGCATTCCCATATTTTAGGCCTTTAAAGTCTTAAAAATGTATGTAAAAGGATTTTAATTTTTCCTATAATCAATTTCACCGACTTACTCCGTAAACGCTGTTGGATAACGATAACGTATCCGAATCCGAATCTAACGTTTACCTCGGAATGTTCTGAATAGCTCGGAAAACGTCCATCGATTCGAGTATTTGTTCGCATTTTCTATCCTTTAACATTTTTAATATTTTTGGAACATTTGATACATTCTATAGCGGGTTATACAAAATTGTGGGCTCCTGTACATTTGTTCGCAAAGCATATACTTTCTGTACGTGTTTTGCTTTCACTAGCAGTTTTGTAACTTTTCTAGCCGATATCAGTATTTTTCTCATAATTGCAACTTTGGTACATTTCAGTGCAAAATGTTAAAATAAGAGAAGATATGGCGACAGTAAACGTGTAATATAAATATTTTACATCTTCTTATGTTGCGATAAATCTGTTACAATATCTCTTTTCTATATACCTAATAAAACTTAGATTGGAACGGGCATAATGCAAAATGAAAAAAGGTTTACTGTAAATGTCACTGTTATTGGCGACACGTAATTTGATTTTAACAAAATATTTTATTATCAATAAAAATATAATCTCAGTACAGAATATTAAAAAAAACCGACCTCAAAAGTACGTTGAATTACGTCTATTAGCTAAGTTTTATTGAAATACCCTTAAATTCGCCACTATTAAGACTTGACACTGGAGATAATAACAAAAAACAATAAACATACAGTCGAACCTCCTCCTTTTTTGAAGTTGGTTAAAAAATCGGTTCTCACAACTCAAAGAATATTGAGAGAAAAACGCCTTGAATTGGAGGAATAGCAATATCAACCATTAAAATAATTGCTCTTTAAGAAAATTTAGGCGCTATTTATAAAAATGAATCTTCATCCGTGAACAGCCACCCTTAGATGTGGATGATTTCCTTCAAAATGAAATGGAACCACTATGGAAGTACCCCCTTTCCAACATAAAAATAATCATGAAAATCGGTTCACAAATACCGGAGTTATCGTGTAACATACATACAAAAAAAAACATACAGTCGAATTGAGAACCTCCTTTTTTGAAGTCGGTTAAAAATACAATTCTAACTTTCCTTGTTTAAATTTATAGTCACTGTGTCTGACAGTACCTGAATTTTATAAAATGCGACAGCTCGCGAATGTGATAAACTTTTTAGACAATATGATTATTGTTGAGCTCACAATAGAAAAGTTTAAATTTTGCGAAAGTATATGCTTTGCGAGTGAATGGACAGGAGCCCGCAATTTTGTATAATTTGCTATGGAATATGTTGAACGTTCTGAAGGTATGAAAAATGCGAATAATTCGATTCGAGAACGATGTCCAATCGAATAATTCGTTTAAAATATCGAAGCGTTCTGAATCGAGGTCCTGGACCGGGAGAAATATTTGTATGGCCTATATATTTATTTATCTCATAGATTTGGGCGTGACTTGTGGTTGTCTATGTGTATCTATGGCACCCGCGATGCAGGTTTTTTATAGTGCAGGGTTTAAAAAAATTAGTACGTAAAAATTCGTTTCTCAAATGACTGTTTCAAGCGTATATTGAATTTCGGAAATACATGTTGTTCCTACTTGTGTTTTACAGAAAACCACCGATTCGTAGTCCGTGTCTCAGCATATAGCGGGGCCGTGTCAAGCTCCACGATCGAAATCCGACCTGCAAGATTGTTGGCCAACACTGTCGATACCGACCAGCTGGACGCGTTCAACGAACAGTGAGTCTTAAATTAGAACAAATGTGAAGTGCTTAGTGGGCGTGGTAGGTGTGCCAACAGTATGCGGAGTTCCGCTTACTTGAGCTCAGCCCGCCATTTTTGCTTTGTACTACTCTACCGTCCACTAACTAAAACTAAGTCACAAATGGTCAAGTATCCGTTTTAAATAGAAAAAGATAGAGCACAAAATTCTCCTTTAAAACAGTTAAAATTAGTTAACGTTCGACTTACGGAACTTTTTTTTGCGTGGGGAAATCCTCCGAGGATACCTCTCCGCCGCGGGGGCAGCGGGAGGTTATAATGCCGACTTCTACCGGCTAAAACCCCACAGTGGCCTTCTCGGGTGCTCTAGTGGGAAGGATTCGGGATCGACTTTGCGCACCGGAACCTCCCAGCACCTAGGAAGAGCTACGTCCTCCCCCTCCTCTCCTCACGATGAAGCGGGTCACACCGCCCCGTCGTCCTCCTCGCAGCTGCCTAACTTACTGGCGAACGGAGCCCCCGCTCCGATCGCCCGCAGCCGCGAAGGTACGCCGCCGCCGAGCGGGATCGGCCCTCTCCCGATCACGCTCGGCGACCTCCTTCTGAAGCATCACCGCTTCACAGAAGGAGACCACTGCCTCATGGGACTCTTGATCCGCCAACATAGCCGCTACTATGCCTGGCGGAGAGAGATCTCGCCCGATAAATTAGTTAACGTGTTCTACTTACGGAACTTACCCTAACGATGCATAGGTGAAATATCATAAAACAATTTCAATGTTCTAAAAGTGGGTTATGGTTTTTTATGATATCTCAAAAAATTGTTTTGTCACTTAGCATTTTGATTGGCGCGGTCGTTTCCCTTATTTCGTCCAAAACCTCAAAAATAACGGAAAAATGTCTTATTTTGCTCCTTTGGATTGGAAAAATGAAAGTCACACCTGTAATACTATCCATGGTAGTGTTTCATTTCGTCGTTAAGTCTTATTTAATTTTAATAAAACGGAGCTCCTATGATAGTAATAATAGTTGGCTTATATAGTTCCAATGCTGGGCACTGGCATCTCACAGTGAGATCGTTTGGGCTGCAATTCCCACGCGGGCCCAATGTAACTTCACACATATTAAATTGCTTTGTAGATTTGTTTTCCTTCACCGAAAAGCTCATGGTAAATTTCAATTCAAATTCCGTAAACTTAGGGGTGCAATTCCGGAATCGAATCCACGACCCTTTGTTTGAGAGGCGATAGGTCAAATCATACAATATAATGTATTTATTACATGGAACAAATATTGGAAATACAATTTGTTATATTTACGACCATAATAATATTAAGATATTTATTCAGAGGCACATTTACAATAAAATGGTTAACAGTAAAGAGTTTCGGAAATATGGACTCTAGTGCCAATGAAAAGGTTGGAACTTCAAGACTGCTGCTGCTTTTCAGGTTCCACCTTCATACATGGACATCCCTTGCTGAAAATTGTCAATCATCACATTACATTTTAAATTTATAAGACATGATTAAAATTATTATTTCGATGAGCACACGAGTATATTACATGTAAAAAACATTAAATACCGAATACAAACGGCACTGGAATGGGTCTCGACTTCTTACATACTTTTAAACTTACTTAGGTGACAAATAAATTACGAAGAAACTTAAAATAAACGATTTGCGACGTTATAGTGTAATTACGATAACAATTTAGTCTAGCAACATTGTGATTTTTGTATGTTAAGTAGCCATTGCTTACACTTTCTTTTGAAAGTGTGCAATGACTGGATAGTTCTAGCATGGATCAATAATTGAGATAGCGTAGTGGGGTAATTAGTACCTATTGGTACGTCAGATGGCAATACCTATATTTGTAACTAATTTATAAATGACGAACTACAATTTATCAAAGCTGCCCTTACTTCTAGTTATAACAAACAAATCAACTAGACGACTCTTATTGCACACATTTTTATGGGTGGTGCCGGCTGTTATTGTATTTTGTTTAGGACTAGCGCCATCTACCCATACTAGCAAGCATTAATTTACAAATTAGTTTATAACACACAATGCCATCTAGTGACATGTATATTTATCACAGTTCGAAAAAAAATTTTTAAGTTCATTGAATGTTACGATGTTTTACTATCATGATATTCCTTTTTTTTCTGACATTACTCCACTACTTTGTTATAATTTTTAATAACAGAAAGAAGAGAACACTTAGAAAAATTCGGTGCGGCTGGGTTCGAACGAGCACCCTTAGGCAATCCGTGCCATATGCTCTGCCAATTAAGCCATGGAACAATCTACTACTATAATACTATCGATCAGCGCCATATAGATAATAATAATAATAACGCATTTAACATAGCCCCGCACTAGGGAAAACCCTGTGTCGCGGGTGCCATGTAGACACATAGACAACCACAAATTATACCCAAGCTCACGAGAGAAATAAATGTAGGCCATACAAATATTTCTTCCGGCTCGGGAATCGAACCTGGGACCTCTGCGTGGCAGTACGGCGTGGAATCCGTTCGGCCACTGAGGCAGTTAGATATACCTAAGACGGAATTTTTGACTTTTTCACAGTAACAATCTGTAGTATGGAGACTAGCAGTTAATGAGTTATTGTCACATGGTTCTAGGTTGATTTTTTAGTTAGTTAGTGTGTATTTTATTTCGTAGATTGTCGAAGTTCGAACAAACGGCGCAATTGAGAAAAAGTAAGTTGCAAGTAATCGGCAACCAACTCGCCACTCTGGAGTCCAACCTTAATCAACTCAATACCAGCAGGAAGGGCATAAACGAGGGTGTGGTAAAGGTATGACCTTCTCATTTGTCTCTACATGTGATTGCAGCGATATAAAATGAATATCATTAGCATTGAATAGATTTTTCTCTCATCTTTGTCGTGTTCGTCACTACTAAAGGTCGTACCCCTGTAAGTTTTTCGTACGTTTACACAGAAACAGAAAGACCGGCGGGCAATATGACCCAAATAACCAAGAATGCTTTAGCCCGGTTTTCACTAATTCTATTGTTTTAATAGGTTTTACAAGATGGTATTTATTAAAGTTCTTCTATTCAGTCAATATACAAAAACATGCAAGATATTCTAAATATTTGTGCACACTGTTAATATTCTTACATAAATTAGTCACATCGCACTGCTATTACAATAGTGTTGTAACTCGAAATATGTGAAAATCAATATTACAATATTGCTGCCATAAAATTAGAATCTCTGCACGTCAATACAACCGTCGTTAGAATAATTTGAGAAATAATTGAAACATATTTACTTAACTCAAAATTATACAAAGTTTTTGTACGCTTGTTCTGGTCACGTCTGTAATAAATAAACTTTGATCTATACATAAATTTAAATGATCTTTCACGGGAAGTGAGTAATTCGTCTTTCATCCATTCTGAAAAAAAATACACATTTTACTTAATACATTATTGTATTAAAAATACGATATGTACAATTAATTCAGCTTTCTTAAATGTATTTATTTCCATAAGCTATTAAGTTTTTAAACTCAGCAATTATTCCAAAAAGTCAAGATTGACGTTAAATTGAATTCCAGGTCCGAACTATATCCGCCCAAATTCGTGTACAAAATAAGAAGATCCAGGACATAGAAAGCGAGCCAGTGTTTAACATAGAGAATGAGAGAGGCAAATGCAGGAGGAAACAGAAGGAACACGCTATGAAACAGACAAAGATGCACAAAGAGTTGTATGAGTTTATGAAGAATTTGCAGACTAAGATTTTGAAAGGGGAAATGTGGAAAGTAAGTTAATGCTTTTGCCGCAAGATATTGCCATTTCAAATACTGATTTTTACTGAGTGTCTTGTCGTCGTGCCGGTTGAACCGTATGAATATTAATATTACTAAATAATGATTATAACAACCGCCATCTTTAATTACCTTTCACTGGTTTCATAGGTAGATGCGCATGCGAGGTGTAATCCTTATGACAGAAAACGGTTCTAAAGCACACCTGTCTCAAATTCAATGGCGTAATTTCGGTACTGTTATATTTTCTTCAAATCAACTTAATGACAAATCAAAACACACACAAGTACAGCAAAAACAACCTACTATGCTTATGCTCATGCTTGGATGAGCTATGGTATCATCTTGTGGGGAAATAGCACAGATGCCTTGAAGTTATTCATTTTACAGAAAAAATGTATTAGAATACTAGTGAATATCGACCCGAAGGAAAGTTGTAAACCGTACTTCATAAAATTAAAAATTCTGACAATGCCGTCTTTATACATTTTAGAAATGTGTAAATTTGTTTAAAAAAAATTATCAATATTTCACTAAAGTAAAGGACACGTACACCCGACCATTGAACCTCAGGTATAAAAATAGATTGGCACTACCTAGGTCGAAATTACAAATGTATAATCAAGGACCCTATGTAATGGCCATTAAAGTTTACAACAAAATTCCAAAGGAGATTTCATCACAAACTAAAATAATTTATTCATCAAGCAACTTAAGGCTCATTTGATAGAAAAATGTTACTATAGCTTGAAACAATATTTTGAAGAATGATTGTAACCATTTAATCCCATTTGCGCCTACTGAGAGGAAGAAATTTGTGAAATGTCAGCTATATATTTTCGATTTACTTGCTGTTAATTTGATTTATAATCTAGTCTTTAAAAGTAACTTTAGGTAATGTTTTTTTTTATTTAAAAAAGAAAAGATATTGTTTTAGTACATATGGTTAAATTGCGGCGCCCTAACAGGGTCATGTTGATACTACTTTAACTTTAAGATCATTTGTAACACATGAAAGCAATAAATACTTTGACTTTGAAACAGAAACAGAACCGTTTTGAAAATTTGTTATGTAGTGTTCAGTGACACTAGTCAATATGTAGTGTAATTAAACTCAAGCAAAATTTTGACAGCAGCATTTTGTTGCTCGTATACAGTTGCCCTTATGTGTCTATTTGTACTGTACTATCATTCAAGTTATAGAAGAAAGAAAACATTTTCTTTTATACAGGTAAAACTGGAATTCAGCAGAAACGCGATAGTTCAACAAGAATCGGAACTAAGAGAGATGAAGAACGAATTACATAGGGCACAGGTAAATATGATACACACATGCTACCGCGCTTGTCTCTCATCGGTATAGTTCTATTATACTGCCCTCGGAACGGAAAAAAGGCTGTATAAAGTGCGCATAGTTGTGCCTTTTTTCGTTACGAGGGCAGTATATCTAGACATGCCTCTTTCGTTGCCTCCACTTGTATCGGTACTTTCTTATTTTTATGCATATCTTTTATACTGCATGCAAACTCGATAAAATTGTCAAAATGTCTGGCTACTCAACGAAACACTCTAATACATAAGTACTTGGCCTATACTTTAGCAAGCAGAATTTTGCAAAACTGAATATTACATAATAGCATTGTATTCCACAGACAACTCTGGAAAACATAGACGCACTATTATCCCGCGCGAGATCAAACGCAAAAGAGAAGCTCATAGAAGCAAAACGCTCCTGTAACAACAAACTACCTCAAGACCCTGACTTTCCTTACAAAGTGGACTTCGACAAATTGCCCACGGATGTTAATAGACTGCAGGAATATTGCTACGAGCTGCAGACTAGGATTGATTGTATGGACAAGGGCGATGAACAGGTGAGTTTTATACTATTACCCACTGTCTTCGCGTGTGGCAGCCGTTGGTTGTGCAACGCACAACGGTAAGTCAGCATGCCGACAGCTCCGTTGCCTATCTGGAAACCAGGGAGGGTACTGTACGTGCACCCGGGGCAGCTCACCCAAGACTCAAGGCTTTTGAGAACCTTATGAAGTCTGTATAAATGGGCTGGGTCAGGATCTGACTGAGTGTCTTTTTCGTATACCCTAAGAGTCGGTAAGGAGTTCTGAGAGACTTCGCGTGCACGATACTAGCAGCGTTACTGCTAAACTTCGCAGAACCAGCGTTGCCCGGATAGTGTGAGTTACTGGCAAACTCCGCAGAGTTAGCGATGCCCGGGTAGTGTGAGTTACTGGCAAATTCCTCAGACTCAACGCAGTATAAGTTACTGGCAAACTCCACAGAGCCAGGGTTGCCCGGGCACTGTGAGTTACTGGCTAAGTTCACATTCCACTAGTCTGACTAAAGTGCTAATAGAATATATTTTTTTAATTATTTACAGATCATCAAAGATTACGAAGAACGAGAGCGTATGATTACAAAACTCCAAGCCGAAGTCAGTAACAATAGCAACTTGAATCGGCAGCTTGAGAATCGAATGCAGAGCATTAGGTACGATTACAAACAAAAAAAAATTAAATATATTACTTTAAACGGTGATAACTCTGTGCAACAAAAGAAAGCGTTAGCGTAAATTACCAGTCCGACGAAAACGCAGGAGCGAGGCTGGGGGTCGTCGGGGAGGACAGCAACCCTTTAGCTGTTTGCGATTAAAGCTCTCAGCGATACTTTTTTTTGTGTTGTTTGCCCCTAGGTCTATGACTTTTTCATCCCGACACACGATGTCATAAAAAATCTATATTTTACGTCAGTGTGTCACTAGAAGTGAACTGTCACTAGGTGTGCACTGTGGAAACGGAAAACCCCCCACCACTATACCTCAAGAGCAACTACCACCACCAAGTTGCGATCTGCGGTGGCCCGTGTGGAAGCCCTTAAATCGACGTCGTACTTAGGTAGGACGCTGCAGGGACGCGACGTGTGAATGAGGTTTCAGGGATACTAGTCAAATCTAATGTGACTGCGGTGCCTCAACACAGTCCATGCAGCACTTACTGTTGTGCCCCTTGTGTCCTAATACCTGTACGAGGGAATATCAGTCAGACAGCGCAGTCAAGGTAGCAACGTACTATTCAGGGTGAATATAGTAGGCTTGTATACTTAAATGAATTTTATATTGACAAACTTGCGTAGTTTTTGGTTAAATTATGTTGTTTTATGTATTTGACGAAGGCTGATGATGGATAATTGACATGTTATTTTAATCTAAATTGTATTTTTATTATTATATTTTGTAATGTGTGAAAACAATCGTGTAAGCCAAAATGTGGCGACTAAGTGCCATACCCCCGCGGGGTGTCATAGCAATAAGTACTAACCTAAAAGAATGTGTATTGTTTAGACTTGCATTTGAAATAAATAAATAAAACTTAGCAAATAGATGTATAGTTCATGAACTACGAACTATTAGGAATATATTCCCGACACTGACTGACATGAACTAGTTCGTCTTGCACGGTTTTAATAGTTCATCATTCTTTTTAGTTCGGTACGAACTAGGAACTGTCTGCGTTGATAGTTCACCTGTCTTTTATACAGTAGGAACGGTGCGAGCGGGACAAATAGCTATCTTTCACTACTTTTAGTACAAGTTCGAGTGGGATGCACGATTGAACGTTGCCAGCTCGTTCTAAGTCTCTAATACGTATCTACATTATGTATATATAAGCAAAAAAGTAAGTGTTCATATTTTTGGTAAGTGTGGTAGGTATCTGTATGTATAATATCAACCTACGTGTACGAATATATGAAATAGTTGTACCTAAATATTGGTTTTTGAACACACCATTGTAACTAAAATTCTTAATTTGTAAAAAAAGGATATATATTTAGTTAGAATGACAGTATTTAAACCTGTAACATAAAAAGGAAAATCCATTAGTACCGACTCCAAATAAATTGTATTTTTAAATATTTAGTACAGTGTAATATTGACCTCATAATACTAGAAGTTCGTTAGGTTCATGTGAATAAAATTAAGTTTGGAGCGTTCGTTCAATGTGCGAGCAAGGACAAGACGCACTAACTAAGGAACTAGATGAACTACAAGACCGACCTAGCTCAGTTGACCGATTGAACTAACTGGGATCGCTGCCTCTTAAGGATCGATCAGGCACAAGTCTACATATAGCCGTAAAATAAAAGAAGTATCGTGACGCTAATAAGAAGTAAGCGTGTTTTGGAATTATGTCGGTGTGCGTGGAATCAATGGAAGTGTCCCGTATTACAGGTCTCAATGGCTGCCTCCATTGGAACTGCTTCTGAACCAGATCGACCGCCGCTTCGGCGACATGTTCGCAAAACTGGACTGCGCGGGGGAGATCAAGCTGGATAAGGCCGGAGCAGAGGTCAGTACATTTTTTCATTTCTTTTGAGAGATGTTATTAAACTATGATAAATGTAGTCACCAAACCACGCTCTATATTAATAAAGTCACGGCCTGAAAAATCTAACTTTTGTGTATATTTTTTTCTTCGTTTATTGGGTAACGATAAGACACTTGAAGATTAGATGATCTTTATTTTTTTAACGACTTTTTTACCGTAGCACCATCTTTGACAAATTACTTCATTGTATTTTCCAGGACGACTACGACAAATACGGCATCTCGATCCTCGTGAAGTTCCGCTCAGGCGAGCAGCTGCAGCAGCTGACGAGGCACGCGCAGTCGGGAGGGGAACGGGCCTTGTCCACGGCCATTTACTTGATGGCTTTGCAGGCGCTAACTACGGTACCTTTCAGGTATGTTGTAAAATTGTACAATACATCCAAAGTACTACACACACCGGCACTACAACAGATCAAAAAAGAATATAAAATACATTGACTTACAATTATATGGACGTCGGGTCCTCGCTAAAAAGTGTCCGAACTTATATAGGGCGTTAAAATCGTATACAGAGCGTCATTCACGCTTTAGTCTTCGTTTGTTCGACTGACAGCGAAGCAAGCAAAATTAGACAGTACTGCGATGACATTACAGTCAATGATTGACTTACAAATAAATGGACGACGGGTCTAATACAAAAACCGCGAAAAAAATGTTCCAAGTCAACCTATTTAAACGTAGTGACATGTAAAGGAATATGAAAAAGCTAAAACGTTGAATTTAAATTGTAATGTCATCGCAGTACTCTCTAATTTTGCTTGCTTCGCTGTCAGTCGAACAAACGAAGACTAAAGCGTGAATGACGCTCTGTATACGATTTTAACACCCTATAAGTTTGGACACTTTTTAGCGCGGACCCGGCGTCCATATAATTGTAAGTCAATGATAAAATAGCAACGTTTCAATTAATATTGACTTAATAAAGCCTTACTCAACCTGCTTTGAAAGCAAATCGAAATTACTTGGGTGGGTTTCCTTCGTTGGCCGTATGTACTAGTGCGATGACCTGGGACATTATTACGCGTGCGTAGAATTTGATTTGACTTTTCCAGATGCGTGGATGAAATCAACCAGGGTATGGACCCGATCAATGAACGCAAGATGTTCCAGCTGCTCGTCAAAGTCACCACCGAGAGCGACAACTCACAGTACTTCTTGTTGACACCGAAGGTAATTCAAATGTGGTGATATTTTATTGTAACATAGTAGTTGCGATGCCTAATAGTACATTGTGGACGGTAAATAAGAAATTACTAACTAGGGGCTATTAGACGCTCGAAGCCGAAGGTTAAGGGCTTCAATAACTCAAGTTTTGTATTTTTTTTACCATACGTGATACATACAATGTTTTTCATCGCATTTGCGAGGAAATAAGTACAATATAAATATGGTTTACAACACAACAATTGTGGATTTTGCAAGTGGCGAGATTTTTGTTTTTTTTTATCAACAGATGGCTGGCTAGCTGTTCTTCTATAGATAATACAACTCGAACTAAAATGTTGTAAAAAGCAAAAACGCATACAGGCATAATGGATTGTAACAACAATTGCGAAATTTTTATATAGAAAATAATTAAAATCAAATAAAAGAAATTCTTAATAATTAGTATTTATTTAAGTAGTATGTGGCTGAATTGCAATATTTCTGTTTAGATAACATTTTAAGCGAATGTTTTAATTTTGTTGTTAACCAAGCAACCTCCTTGCTTGAATTTGAACCTGACCTATGTAAGGAAGTAATAAAAAAAAACTCCTTACCGACCATGGCTGTAATGGAAAGAAAAAAGGCCTGACGGTTTTATTTGGGGTATTATAGTCAAGCATCGAGTATATAACCAAAAATAGAGACGAAATAAGGGCCATCCATCCCTGGTAACTCATCAGGTTATTAGGCCTTATATCACTTTTAAATATCAACTCTCATTTGCGCTGAAATCACAAATTAGAAAACTGAAATAGTACAGCGCCAACAACTGACCTGTGTATATCGACCCCTCCGACGTAAAGTATCGTATGTCGAAATTGTCAAGTTTACAGAGGAGCCTTTTAAATATTCCTAATTCACTGAAATAAGCACAACACGTGACTTTAGCATTTCTCAGTTTTTTTCGACAAAGCTCGTTACTCACATAGAGTATCATAAAATCCTAGATATCGGTTAGATGTTGTATTAGATGATCACTCTATTTGAGTAACGAGCTTTGCCGAATAAAACGGAGATCTTTAAAACGCTTCCCTGTAAACTTGGCAATTTCGACATACGATACTTTACGTAGGAGGGGTCGATATGTCTCCGTATATTCCAAAAATATTTATTGTAATAAAGACAATATCTCTAACAATGGGGGCTGTTCCATTCGGTGGTGTGGGAAAAACAGCAAAAAATCTAATTACAAAACAAACGGAATCACATTTTATCGATAATTAAATATGTAATTTAGCAAATGACGACACCCGTCAATTGTTTCGAATTCGGTCTGACCAATCGGAACGCAGTTTTCACCGTAATGATTTGACAGAATAGTTTTCAAACAAATTAAATTATATTTCGTCTCTATTTCTAGTTATATACTCGATATAGTCAAGTTAGCCACCATGCAATTGTACTATTTACGAGCAAGTGTGATGAAAAATAAGTAAATGAGTACCTGTGCCCAAATCTGCTAATTTTAAATCATCTCTGTTGGGTGTCGATAGTGTCAATGGCAGTATTTTGCACGTTTGCAATTTCGGGTTGTCAATGGCTAACCATTGAGGTACTAATCCAACTGCCTTTGCAATGTTTTGGTATTCTGCTCTTCAATGGCGAATCGATGGTGTAATCTACCAATAATATCGACCCCCCTCCTACGTAAAGTATCATATCGACTCCTCCTACGTAAAGTATCGTATGTCGAAATTGCCAAGATTACAGGGAGGCGTTTTTAAATTTTGAATTCACTGAAATGAGCATAACACGTGACTCTATTTCTCAGTTTTATTCGGCAAAACTCAAACAGAGTGTTATAAAATCTTAGATATCAGTTAGATGAACAACCACAATTTATTTTATTATTTTACAATTTAATTTAGCATTTCTATGCTAAAGTCACGTGTTATACTCATTTCAGTGAATTCACAACTTAACGCTTCCCTGTAAACTTGGCAATTTCGACATACGATACTTTACGTAGGAAGAGTCGATATGTCGAAATTGCCAAGTTTACAGGCGAGCGTTTTAAAGTTATGAATTTACTGAAGTGAGTGATCATCTAATAGATTACCTAACCGATATCTAGGATTTTATAATACTCTATGTGAATAACGAGCTTTGCCGAATAGAACTGAGAAATGCTAAAGTCACGTGTTATGCCCATTTTAGTGAATACAGAACTTTAAAACGCTCCCCTGTAAACTTGGCAATTTCGACATAAGATACTTTATGTAGCCCTCCTACGATACATCATGTGCATTTAACTTGAAGGCCAAATTGCAAATGAAACAAGACAAAAATTAAGATATGCATAATAATATTCACGTAGTTTTAGTAAGGCAACATAGATCGTTAGTGAATAGAATACGTTTATTTGCCAGAATACTGTAATGATAAACGTCTGAAGTAAAATTAGGCACATTGTATTCAACCTGCAAGCAGATGTGCAAATATTAATAGGATTTCATGTTCGGTCTCTACTGTTAATTGCACTTTAAATTAATGTAAATATCTATTTGAAAATTCTAAGTATTCTTTATTACTATAGAAGCAATGTGTCAAAAGCCAATTTGTCAATTGTAATGTAAAAGTATATCCTTGTAACAGTTTAATTGCATTTGGCAAATTGTTGAAATTTTACTCATGTTGAAGCAAAAAAGTCTGCCTTTGATTAATTTCACCACGTGTTTTGAAATATTGCGGATTAAGTTTTGACAAATACACAGATACCTCTAATGTACAACATGTCAAAGGCAGTATGTTTAGTTTTTTGAACAACGGTTTACAGCCGTTGTCGAACCACGCGCACATCTTCACATCTTGATTGTAATTGAATGGTAGAATGTCATCACTGCCATTCCATTGCACTATATTGAGACTCAATTGCCATTGCAAGTAAACTTGAGCAGAATAACAAATACTATCATAAGCGTAATATAATCTCAATGGTCTCAAAGGAATTACAATGACCAGTGGCATCTAGAAAATTAGTACATTTATGTTTGTGTTAGTGTATTTTTGGCATCTTGTTTATACATGCATGACAGGACGAACAAGTCGTGCGCCTGATGTTAAGCGACACGCCTGTCCATAGCAGTTGCAGGGTCACTCAGAGCTTGAAATCGCAAAGATAAATAATATGTTTATTTCAGTAATACAGTTAACTTTTTATTAACAGTGGATGGTACCTCCTATTAAGCTTATCAAGCCTGTGTCAGGAGGCACCGCTCTTCCATAGTTATAAATGTACATTGAACATTTTGAACTTCTACTTATTTTGTGTTTAATTTTTACATTTCCGAACAAAGTCAAAACAAACAATTTTCAAAAAAGATCTGTGAGGCACTGCCCTGTCACCCAGAGACATTGTGCCTGTAATTTCACCAGCACCCTTCACAACCTAAATATTGTAATGCTCACATTACGGTGGCAGAAGTAGGTGAGGTGGTAATACTTCCCTGGATGAACTCTTTCACAAGGAGCTTAAAAGGAGACACGTATCTAGCAGTGGGTCGTATAATGAACACAAAAATTCCTTCGATCTGAATGGTCTCGAACCAGCGTCTATTGTCATGCCGGGGGGCCCACCGCTCTTACCAATTGAGCTTAACGCTGATTTAATATACATACTGATTGAATTTCAGACTTTATTTTTTTTTCCACAGTTACTAACGAAACTGGAGTACAATCCGAAGATAATGGTGCACACGATAATGAACGGCAAAAACATTATGAACTATAAGAAATGGAATAACAATAATTTCCTTGAGAAAGCTAGGTTATATAGAGAATAATTTAAAATCGGCTGTAAAGTTAACGTTGAGATTATTAATTTAACTTGTACTACTTACAGGGTGACGTTTATTGTTTTACCAATATTTTAAGGGTGGTTCTCACCAGGGTTGCTGCGAATATCAGCATCAGCATACCCATTAATCGATGCTGATATTAATTGCGGATGTTCGAGTCGTGACATGACCTCAAAACCCCACGTTGGATTAATTTACAAACCTCCCAGAACTAGAAAGTAAGCCGAAAATACAGTTGAGCCGTTGTTGTCATAGCGTAACTTTGATAAAATTTCAGAACAATGAAGCTAGGCATAGATATTGATTGATTCTTTTGTTGATAAATGTCACAAAATCATTGAAATAATATTCCATTACATACCAAAGAAATTGTGTATATATGTAGATAGATTCAGTAACTTACTTCGATGGCTCAGCGACACGAATTGGATCTTTCCCTGCGACATCGAAGTACGCCATTTTTTTCTGGCTTCTGCCAATTCCGACCATTCGGGAACCTTCAGTTCCTTTAGGTCTTTGGCGACATCATCCTTACAGCGACATCATCCTTACAGCGATATCTTGGACAGCCCGCTGGACGATAACCCGTTGGTTGCCCCAAATACGCTCTTTTGGCAGCTCGATCCTCTCCCATTCTTTCCACATGCCAGCAAAGTCGAGCAGATTTTATTTCCCCGATTATGTCCGGCTCAGACACTAGATTCTATAGATTCGGTAAGGATGTACATGTTTCGCGTTTTTTTCTTCTAAATACATAAAACCAGCATTCGCATTCGTTAAGGTCAAAAAAGCAGCAACACCTGCATCAGCAACAATCCTGGTTCTAACCATCAATACGAACAATTTTTACCCTCGCCACCCCTTACAAATCGTGAGAAAAATTGTTTTTCCATACATTTGTGTCGGATATAACAATTGACTAGTGATGGTAGACCATTTTGAAAATGATTGCTTATATATTTTACAACTTGAAATGACACACTTACCGACTTTAAAGCAAAGTGTGTAAAGAGCATTTTACTCTGCCCATAGAATAGTACAGGTTAATGAAGGTTAATGATAGTAAGCAATAGTGATTTTTTTCCATACAGATTTCGATTGTAAAAAATGTTCGTATTGATGTGTGGAATAATCACTTAAAATGTCATTGAATATGTATAATAATAGCTATGATGTAAGAACAGAGCTTGAGAGAGAATTAAGGATTTAATAACGTCTACCTCTTACGGGATCACCACAATTATTGTCACGGAATCGGCTTGAAAAGCGAAAAGGACGTTGTGCCATTCGCGTCCGCGGTCCGAGCGGAAGCGAAACTCGCGACATCTTTTTTGCTCTTAAAGCTTAACCAAATAAAAGCAGGGTTCGAAAGTATCAAGATATTTATTTTCTTTGATAATTAATCCTGATAATTACCTTTGGATAACTTTTTAATAAAAATTGCATAGGGTTTCTATCTTTTTGAACTCGTATTAGCTGAGTACCAGGGTATAAAATTGTCATGATATTTATTTTCTTTTATGATTACCATAATAATTACCCGATAATTATCCATGCTGATTCATGGTTTTGCCGCTTTAATTTTTGACTTAAAACGACAAAAAATACCCTGGAAAAAACTATTTGTTAAACTTTTTTGAGATTAACATTTGACACGTTTGGATACGTCTCTGATACAAACACGTCATGGCATGCTGTTCCTGTTAATTTTATATTATCAAGATTGTCAATATAATTATCGTGATAATTATTATGAGTATCAATGATAATTATCACTTCGAACCCTGAATAAGAGTAAATTATTTATCACCTTATTTTGTAAAGTAATGGATTAATTATGTTGCTACATTCGCATACTCCCAAGTCGATTAAGTGCGTCCGGTTTGCACCAAGTGCAAATGGCAGCTGAAAGCCGACAACAATCGAAAGACCAATTGCCGAGTGATGTTAAGAAAATAGTTATACTGTACATAATTCCAATAAAAATGTCACGTTTTATGTTGTGATGTAACTTGTAAGTCACGAAAATATGGGCGCCTTCAAATTAGATGCTTGTAGAAGCGCTGTAGCTTAATTTAAAGGCGCCCTTAGTTTTGTAAGGTAATTATATTGCCTTTATATTCCGAGGGTTTCCACACATCAGCCAGATGGGTAATTTTCAGGCCCTGTACTCTCGTTCTCCGTCCGAAACAATTATTTATTAATAGTAATATTAAATAAGTAATACATGCCCAATTACAAGATGCAGCATCTTTTAATTTGGCCGAGTATTACTTATTTGACAGTAATGATTTCGGCTGAATGCCGAGAACGAGAAGACGAGAAGAAGAAGAGAACGAGAGTAGACACCCGGATTAGTTTTCTCCATCTGATTTCAGTGGCAATTTTTAATATTTAATGTGTATTACTTACTTAATATTCAAGTTGAATATCCAGAAATATTATTCACTATTTCACGATAATATACTCGAATACTTCAAAAATAAATATTGTCACCGAAATTAGGTAAATTAAGATGCAGTTTACAAAAGTTTCCTGTACTAGAAATTGAACCCGAGCGTCCATAGTGGCTAGCTGGGCCGCTGATGTCGTCAATAAAAATATGGACCAATAATAACTCGAGAGGATTGCTAATCGAGCATTTAGGCGATTAACACACTGCACCGCGCTCCGCGACGGAACGCGAGACGCGGAATCACGCGCGCGGTGGCGGAGCCGCAGATCTGCGTCAACGCGCGGTTTAATCTGCGCGGGGGCAGCGGTCTAGCGGCCCCGCGGCACTTGAAGTACTTGCTTCGCAGTTGATCGCCGTAGTGATTGTATATGTAGCCCAGATCCTTCTTTGACAAGAATGGTTAATAATACAAATCTCACTCAGGCCGCTGCAGTTATATTGTCTATTTGGTTTATGTTTACTCAAATGAAAAGACACCGAAGATATTGGATACACCCCTTTTTACGAACCAGATCGATAAATAGTGCCGGCTATACTTTTGTTTAGGATTAGCGCTATCTACCCATTTTAGCAAGCCCATTTAGCTCACGGTCAATATTTAAATAAAATATTTAAAAAAACTGACTTCTTATATTTCATATTTAAGAGAAATTAATTGAAAACCACGACCATTTATATATTGTAGATATAGGCGCGATTTTGACCTTTTTCAGAGTTAAGATCAGATAAGTATGGTGATTATCAGTCCACTTGAGTTATTAGCCCATGATAATGGTAGTGGTTAAACTCGAGTTATGTAAGGTGGCCCATAATGACAAAGAACTTGTACCGAATTTATATGAAGCTTGGTACTTTATTCCCAGAAAAATTTAACCAGCCTCATTTTTTTGCTAGATATAAGCTTGAAATATAGAACGTAGCAAAATAATTACAAAAATTATTGTGATCTGCATTTTTTATTTATTTATTTAAAACAAAAGTCTGGTAGATATGTGAAATTAATTCCAGCAACTCTTAGGCGAAAAAATTATCTCATTATATTACTTATATATCACACTACACCGCGCCCCGTGACGGAGCGCGGAGCTGCGTTTCTTGACGTTGTACGAAGTACCGAACGAAGTAACGAAGTACCTTTGTATGGAAAACACGCGCCGTCGAACACACTGACAACGCTTCTCCGCGCGGCGAACCGCAGGGTACGGCACACTACGCTCCGCACTACCGCGCAGATTTTTATAACTACAATAGGTCTCGACGTCGATAAATTTATATTTGCTATTGAAAATCGACCAAATATATCTTCATATTTTCTTAAATCTTTGTAATGAAAATCTTCAAATTATCCATTTATCGATCTGGTTCGTAAAAAGGGATGTATCCAATATCTTCGGTGTCTTTTTATTTGAGTAAACAAAAACCAAATTGACAGTATAACTGCAGCGCCCTGAATGAGTTCTGTATTATTTACCATTCTTGTCAAAGAGGGATTACGGCTACATATACAATCACTACGGCGATCAACTGCGAAGCGAGTACTTTAAGTGACGCGGGGCCGCTAGACCCCTGCCCACGCGCAGATTAAACTGCGCGTTGACGCAGATCTGCGTCTCCGCCACCGCGCGCGAGATTCCGCGTCCCGCGTTTCAACGCGGTCCAGTGTGTTAATCGCCTTAAACGCCGAAATATTCAAAATCATAATTCTAATTGGCTAATTAAATTGCAACAAGAATGACTTTGACATCTGGTCTGTCAATATTTTTTATGGCCTTGGCCACTGGCAATGAGCCAGTCAAAAAATTACATAAACATCCGTTCCGTTTCGTGGGATTCCGTATTACTTTGCAGAGTATTAAAAATCCCTAACGATTTTCTGGAAATTGCAGGTCAAAAATAATTTGTTTTTAATTCAGACTTTCTAGATTTTTAGCGCTCTTTACAAAAATCCAACTAATATAGCCTGGTTAAATTTTTAATTTTAGTACCACTAAAGGAACAACTTTGCCATGATAAAATTGAGTTTTGTTTAACTTCATTCATCGAGTATATAATCAGAAATAGAGACGAAATAAGGGCAATACATTCCTGGTAACTCATCAGTGATACATCACTTATAAATATCAAACCTCGTTTGCACTGAAATATAGACAGCGCCGACATCTGCCCTGTGTACGTCTCCGTATATTCCAAAAATATTCTGTATTTATTGTAATAAATAAATATAATATCTCTAACAATAGCGTGCTGTTCGGTGGTGTGGGGAAAAACAACAAAACGTCTAATTACAAAACAAACAATCACATTTCACGATAATTAAATACGTAATTTAACAATTGACGACACCCGTCAATTGTTTCGAATTCGGGTTGGCCAATCGGAGCGCAGTTGTCACCGTAATGATATGGCTGAATAGTTTTCAAACAAATTAAATGACATTTCGTCTCTATTTCTGGTTATATACTCGATGACTTCATTACATGGCCTTGCGTATTATTTAAAAACTTTTAAACATCATGAGAAATAATTTTAAAAATTGTGATATTTTTTTCGCAATATTAAACCAAAATTAGGTTAGAATGTTCATTCTGTTTGTATTTAGTATACATGTAATGAGCAACGGAGCAGACTAGACTACAGTGCTGCCCTCATTGTCATGAACAACGCATTTGCGTTCTAGTAACTTCTGAGATATTAGCATGTAAGCTTTTTTCTTTGAAAAATGTCGATTACTCTGATTTTGCTTAAGAATCGATACTATCTCGGCTTCAATTCAAATTTTTCCCGTGCTAATACGGTTCATTTTGCTTGGGTCTCGCGGCAGGGACACTGGCTTTATTTCAGAATTTATTATTTTACAAACGAAGTTGAAGTCATTTGAAAAATATATATCGTATACTATATACGTGTTCTATTTAGTTCTGTTGATATAAAAAAATAATTGGTATTATGTAAACTACCTATTGATTACAGCGGTTTTTTTGTAAAATTTCGAGGTGAATTTGTGTTTTTCTTATACAGTGAAAATTTTAAAAAATCGTGTTTTCATCGATTCCAGATATGTTAATAATAATTTCACAAAAAAGTCGATTACCTTGTTTATGATAAGGACGGCACAGTTGCGGATCGCAGTCATATTGGTTTCCAAATTTAAATTAAAAGCAAATTTCATTAGCCTGTCTACTGATATTCAGTTTGCAATTTATTTTTATTATTATATTTCAAAAGCAAGAAACACAAAACATTCCAATACAACATAAACTTTTTTTTTCTGTATACCGCTCATTCATCGTACAAAAACGTTTCTGTGTGTAGTGTGTGCGATCGTACTGCTGCGTGTTGACATTACTCGTAGTATGCGTGGGAGTCGTTAACGATGGGTGTCATTAAACCTATATCAGACCCTTGTATGTTGGATTATCAAACATAACAGTAGCAATTACCACTAAACAGGCATGTTCTTACCTTCTTCTATCCTATCTGCATCATGTACTAGATAACCAACAAATACCTGGCCTCAAACTAGGGTATTCCCTGCACTTTAAGTACCAGAGCAAGGAAATTAAATCTGAGGCACTACCCAAG